GTCCCACAGGGATCAGTCCTTGGACCTACACTGTTTCTGATATACGTAAGTTCCCAGAAGGAATTGACTCGTTCCTCTCGATGTTTGCTGATGATGCAAAAATTATGAGGAAGATCAAGACAGAGGAGGATAGTATGAGGCTACAAGATGACCTAGACAAACTGAAGGAATGATCCGACAAATGGCTACTAAAGTTCAACCCAAGTAAATGTAAGATAATGAAACTAGGAGGCCACTCACTGGATACCGAATGGGAGATGAAGTCCATCACGAAACGGACAGAGAGAAAGATCTAGGAGTTGATATCACGCCAAACCTGTCTCCCGAAGCCCACATCAAAAGAATAACATCAGCGGCCTATGCGAGGCTGGCTAACATCAGAATTGCTTTCAGAAACCTGTGTAAGGAATCCTTCAGAACCTTGTATACCACATATGTAAGACCAATCCTGGAGTATGCGGCCCCAGCATGGAGTCCGTACCTAGTCAAGCACAAGACGAAGCTGGAAAATGTTCAGAGGTATGCCACTAGACTAGTCCCAGAACTAAGAGGCATGAGTTATGAGGACAGACTACGTGAACTGCACTTCACGTCGCCGGAAGACAAAAGAGCTAGGGTAGAAATTGACAGGGTAGACAAGGAGGGATTATTTAACATGGGTGGTACACGCACAAAGGAACACAGGTGGAAGCTGAGTACCCAAATGAGCCACAGAGACATTAGAAAGAACTTTTTCAATGTCAGAGTAGTTAACAGGTAGAATGCACTAGGAAGTGATGTGGTGGAGGCTGACTCCATACACAGTTTCAAATGTATATATGACAGAACCCAGTAGGCTCAGGAATCTGTACATGAGTTGATTGACGGTTGAGAGGCGGGACCAAAGAGCCAAAGCTCAACCCCCGCAAGCACAACTAGATGAGTACAGAGACCCCGGGTGACAGAGGGCCCGGGTCACCCATCACTGCGAGGGAGGAACGTTTCAATGCCGCTCAAGTAGGCGGTGTTGCCATCCTGATGCTAATATAATACAATGTTTACTTCCTCATTGTGATGTATTGACACGAGTGACATATATGTGTATAAATAGCCTGTATAGTAGTTCTGATATATGTGTGTATATAGACATACGAATAACAAATACAGGAAGTATATATTTGTGATATCTAGCACGTATATCACGGGCTCTCCCAGGACGTTGCCAACGACCTACTGCAGATTATCTCCTGCATACTTTTAGATATCTTTGTGGATATCGTCATGTCTATTCTACTTCGGGACAACACGGAGGGACTCCTTATTGTCTCCTCACGCGAGCCTCCAAAGCTGCCATTCATTTTGTAATGCTTTAAGCTTGACGGAAATGGTGTTGTTGTTGGTGGCGAGGCAACCCACCACTGGCCCGTGCCCGCCCAGGCCGCCAGGGGTGGGTCCGGGTATATAACAACCTCGTGCCCGCTGCCAAATGATAAAGGCTGTACTCTTGCTCTCAAGCACTCCACACGCACTCACGCCTACCCTCGCTCACAGTGGAGGAAGCTGCCATTAGAGTCATGAAACTGTTAGTGTTGGTGTCCCTGATCCTGGCGTCCGCGGCGGTCGCTTGTTACTCCAGGCCAGTTACTGCCACCGACAAGTCTCCTGCCAAATGCTTGAAGGAACTTTTGACTGACTTGGCGGCGACGACACGTCGTGGAGGGCAGGGGGTCGTCTTATTCAGTAGTACTGAAGACTCCGTCGTACCCCAGCAACAGGTGTCTACAGGTGTAGCACAGGTGTCCGGCGTGGCAGTGTATGCCACGGAGCGGCTTTCATCACGCAAGCAAACATTTACCAGCGACCAGGAACCGGCAAGCAGGCGCAGCAAGAGATCAGTTCGGGAGGGCAACAAGTCCAAGAAGTCTTCCTCAAACCGTAGATTCACTACAACCATAAAGAAACACATGAAGCAGCTGAAGAAAATGAAGTGTGTTCCCCGCAGAGAGAAGGTGTATGTGAGGGACTATCTTAAGGATGAGAGTCTCGACAGCGACATCTTCCTTCCGGAGGTGTTGGCTGTGAAGAGGTGCTGCGCCGCCTGCAGTTTCTGCGGCAAGGAAAGTGATTACACGGCCAGCGAGTACGGCAAGAATTGCACCCCGGCCATCACCATCAAAAGGAACTTCACTATATTCTTCTACGATAATGAGAGACGGAACTTAACTTTGACTCTCGATGTCGACACGAAGTGTCACTGCACCTAGTGTAGCACCGACTGACACGTCGTCGTTTCTGATGTGTGGTTTGTAGATCATATCTTCAGCCACGTTATTGGGACCCATCGTCCGCACTCTACCTATGGTGCCCACAGGGAACTGGACATTAAATGTCCCGGTGTCGGGTGCTGACACCTGGGTGGACACCACGTGTCCTGTCGAATGCTGACACCAGAGTGAACAGCATGATGGATGCTGGTTGTTGTGTTGCTACTGTCAGTGTTGAGGTGGAGATAACAGTGCCCACCTGACAGTGGTGTCTCAGTGTCAGCTCAAGCCACTCTTCGTCAGCAAAAGCTGATGAAGAGCTGTCACTTGTTTACAATTTAATCAATCCGACAGCACAACCTCTCATTCAATCCATCACAGCACTCTGTCAATCAGTCTCTCGGCACACAGTCTTCCAAGATGTTCCGTTAAGTGAGCTTTCACAAATGCAATAGTTAGCATGCAGGGAACCTCAGTCAACCACACATAGGGACTATCTGGCAATGCAGAGACGTGAGTGGTGTGTTGACCACTGAGGGCTGCACGACCACCGGGAACACGTCAGTGGTGTGTTGACCACTGAGGCCTGCACGACCACCTGGAACACGTCAGTGGTGTGTTGACCACTGAGGGCTGCACGACCACCTGGAACACGTCAGTGGTGTGTTGACCACTGAGGCCTGCACGACCACCTGGAACACGTCAGTGGTGTGTTGACCACTGAGGGCTGCACGACAACCGGGAACACGTCAGTGGTGTGTTGACCACTGAGGCCTGCACGACCACCTGGAACACGTCAGTGGTGTGTTGACCACTGAGGGCTGCACGACCACCTGGAACACGTCAGTGGTGTGTTGACCACTGAGGGCTGCACGACCACCGGTAACACGTCAGTGGTGTGTTGACCACTGAGGCCTGCACGACCACCGGGAACACGTCAGTGGTGTGTTGACCACTGAGGGCTGCACGACCACCTGGAACACGTCAGTGGTGTGTTGACCACTGAGGGCTGCACGACCACCGGGAACACGTCACTGAGGGCTGCACGACCACCGGGAACACGTCACTGAGGGCTGCACGACCACCGGGAACACGTCACTGAGGGCTGCACGACCACCGGGAACACGTCACTGAGGGCTGCACGACCACCGGGAACACGTCAGCGGTGAGGAACGACAGAACAAGGCAGGGTAGAATTATTGAGTTAATGATTGTCGAGCAACAGTGCTTGTAGGGCACTTGTCGCCGGGCAGCCAATCACGCGCCCGGCGTATCACGTAATGTAGCGCCACCTGCCCCGGGTGGACCTATAATGTGGCGCCACCTGCCCCGGAAGGACCTATAATGTGGCGCCACCTGCCCCGGGAGGACCTATAATGTGGCGCCACCTGCCCCGGGAGGACCTATAATGTGGCGCCACCTGCCCCGGGAGGACCTATAATGTGGCGCCACCTGCCCCGAGAGGACCTATAATGTGGCGCCACCTGCCCCGGGAGGACCTATAATGTGGCGCCACCTGCCCCGGGAGGACCTATAATGTGGCGCCACCTGCCCCGGGAGGACCTATAATGTGGCGCCACCTGCCCCGGGAGGACCTATAATGTGGCGCCACCTGCCCGGGAGGACCTATAATGTGGCGCCACCTGCCCCGGGAGGACCTATAATGTGGCGCCACCTGCCCCGGGAGGACCTATAATGTGGCGCCACCTGCCCCGGGAGGACCTATAATGTGGCGCCACCTGCCTCGGGAGGACCTATAATGTGGCGCCACCTGCCCCGGGAGGACCTATAATGTGGCGCCCCCTGCCCCGGGAGGACCTATAATGTGGCGCCACCTGCCCCGGGAGGACCTGTAATGTGGCGCCACCTGCCCCGGGAGGACCTATAATGTGGCGCCACGTGCCCCGGTAGGACCTATAATGTGGTGCCACCTGCCCCGGGAGGACCTATAATGTGGCGCCACCTGCCCCGGGAGGACCTATAATGTGGCGCCACCTGCCCCGGGAGGACCTATAATGTGGCGCCACCTGCCCCGGGAGGACCTGTAATGTGGCGCCACCTGCCCCGGGAGGACCTATAATGTGGCACCACCTGCCCCGGGAGGACCTATAATGTGGCGCCACCTGCCCCGGGAGGACCTATAATGTGGCGCCACCTGCCCCGGGAGGACCTATAATGTGGTGCCACCTGCCCCGGGAGGACCTATAATGTGGCGCCACCTGCCCCGGGAGGACCTATAATGTGGCGCCAACTGCCCCGGGAGGACCTATAATGTGGCACCAACTGCCCCGGGAGGACCTATAATGTGGCGCCAACTGCCCCGGGAGGACCTATAATGTGGCACCAACTGCCCCGGGAGCAGCTGTGATGTGGCGTCACTGGCTAATGAATCACCAAACTCACTCATGTCTGACCGTCGCTGGAAACACTCCAGCGAACACATGTATCATGTGTCTACTGTACCACACTGTATTGTACCTCCTGGTACACTGTTCACTGTGTCTACTGTACCACACTGTATTGTACATCCTGAATAATAGTTCTAGTCTGTATTATGAATCCAAGTTGTATATTTTGTGATTTTCATGTAAAGATTCTTTTTATAAGATGTTTTATATGTTGTGAATGCATAATAATGTACCTATTGCGAAGCCTTCTTGTATTGTCGTATGGTTAGTGTATTTAAGTGTGGTTGAGAAGCCTTCTTATGTCGATGGTAAGTTGTATAGTATCTGAAGTTGTGTATATTTTGTACTCTTATGGGGGCCTGCTGAAGGCTGTGATGGGCCTGCTGAAGGCTGTGGGGGCCTGCTGAAGGCTGTGATGGGCCTGCTGAAGGCTGTGGGGGCCTGCTGAAGGCTGTGATGGGCCTGCTGAAGGCTGTGGGGGCCTGCTGAAGGCTGTGGGGGCCTGCTGAAGGCTGTGGGGAGAGTGCTGAAGGCTGTGGGGAGCCTGCTGAAGGCTGTGGGGGCCTGCTGAAGGCTGTGGGGGCCTGCTGAAGGCTGTGGGGAGAGTGCTGAAGGCTGTTGGGGACCTGCTGAAGGCTGTGGGGGCCTGCTGAAGGCTGTGGGGGCCTGCTGAAGGCTGTGGGGAGAGTGCTGAAGGCTGTGGGGAGCCTGCTGAAGGCTGTGGGGAGAGTGCTGAAGGCTGTGGGGGACCTGCTGAAGGCTGTGGGGACCTGCTGAAGGCTGTGGGGAGCCTGCTGAAGGCTGTGGGGAGAGTGCTGAAGGCTGTGGGGAGCCTGCTGAAGGCTGTGGGGAGAGTGCTGAAGGCTGTGGGGGACCTGCTGAAGGCTGTGGGGAGAGTGCTGAAGGCCGTGGGGAGCCTGTTCAACGCTCATTCATAAACAAAACTCAGTACCTGAACATTGGAATGTTGCCACTGTTGATGAACATGTCTTGAACATCTGTGGTCTTGTATAAACTTGTCCTGTACTTATGTTATCGATGAACGCGTCTTGTACATCTGTGTTATTTATTAAACCTGTGTGATAAAATAAATTATTTGAGTGTCATTACCCAAGCTCATATATTGAACACCTGCAGCTGTTGATATGGGAGGTGACTGTTGCCATGAACACCTGCGTATATATATATATATATATATATATATATATATATATATATATATATATATATATATATATATATATATATATATATATATATATATGTCGTACCTAGTAGCCAGAATGCACTTTTCGGCCTACTATGCAAGGCCCGATTTGCCTAATAAGCCAAATTTCCCTGAATTTATATATTTTCTCTAATTTTTTTCTTATGAAATGATAAAGCTACCCATTTCATTATGTATGAGGCCAATTTTTTTTTATTGGAGTTAAAATTAACGTAGATATAAGACCGAACCTAACCAACCCTACCTTACCTAACCTAACCTAACCTATCTTTATAGGTTAGGTTAGGTTAGGTAGCCGAAAAAGTTAGGTTAGGTTAGGTAGGTTAGGTTGTCGAAAAACAATTAATTCATGAAAACTTGGCTTATTAGGCAAATTGGGCCTTGCATAGTAGGCTGAGAAGTGCGTTCTGGCTACTAGGTACGACATATATATATATATATATATATATATATATATATATATATATATATATATATATATATATATATATATATATATATATATATATATATTCATTTGTGTCTCTTCTATTTTGACAGGGAAGAGACATATATATAGATAGCTGCTACAGAATCTAGTGTGTTACTAAGCACTTAACCACTGTTGGTGATTAAGATGCTTTTACAAGCTGAGGTTATAGTTACATCACAAACATTGTATAACTGATGCAGTACACAGTCTATCTTGGGTACAAGTCCAATATATCATTAAGTTCTCCAGTACTCAGACAGTATTTACGGAGTTCTGTAAACCTCAGCCCAGGTGGGCGAGTCAGTCAATATGGGACATTCTATAATATAATATTCAACGGAATGTATGTTTTCTCTTTCACAAAGTTGACACATTTTGTACCTCGACATTTGGGTTTTAAGAGAGCTGCCAGATACGTCTATATCTCAGGCGTATTCTGGCCACTATAAGATTCAACCAACAGGGAGCCGAGCGGACAGCACGCGGAACTTGTGATCCTGTGGTCCTGGGTTCGATCCCAGGTGCCGGCGAGAAACAATGGGCAGAGTTTCTTTCACCCTATGCCCCTGTTACCTAGCAGTAAATAGGTACCTGGGTGTTAGTCAGCTGTCACGGGCTGCTTCCTGGGGGTGGAGGCCTGGTCGAGGACCGGGCCGCGGGACACTAAAGCCCCGAAATCATCTCAAGATAGCTATGATTCATTTAGTTTGATGAATGGGAACAGTAGAGCAACAGTAGTACACTTACGTCGCGTCAGACTGGGATACCCATGTGCATGGGAAATAGGTTTACAGGTTCCGGAAGATGAGAGGAAATGTCAACACTGTGGAGAAATCCCCGACAGACCACTGGAACATTATCTAACACAGTGCACAGTTACAGCCACAACAGACCACTGGAACATTATCTAACACAGTGCACAGTTACAGCCACAACAGACCACTGGAACATTATCTAACACAGTGCACAGTTACAGCCACAACAGACCACTGGAACATTATCTAACACAGTGCACAGTTACACACACAACAGACCACTGGAACATTATCTAACACAGTGCACAGTTACACACACAACAGACCACTGGAACATTATCTAACACAGTGCACAGTTACACACACAACAGACCACTGGAACATTATCTAACACAGTGCACAGTTACACACACAACAGACCACTGGAACATTATCTAACACAGTGCACAGTTACACACACAACAGACCACTGGAACATTATCTAACACAGTGCACAGTTACACACACAACAGACCACTGGAACATTATCTAACACAGTGCACAGTTACACACACAACAGACCACTGGAACATTATCTAACACAGTGCACAGTTACAAACCTATTAAGATTTCAACTTAGATTCAAGAAGTTGTTTAACACGTGGGACAAAATCTTACTGAAGTGACCATACGAGTCATAAATACTCATACTCCGCCCAAGTAAAACAGAAACAAGCAACACTTAGTGGGCCAGCCAGAGGCTTAGGGCCCGCCCAGTGGGCCAGCCAGAGACTTAGGGCCCGCCCAGTGGGCCAGCCAGAGGCTTAGGGCCCGCCCAGTGGGCCAGCCAGAGGCTTAGGGCCCGCGCAGTGGGCCAGCCAGAGGCTTAGGGCCCGCCCAGTGGGCGGGGGATGAGACGCCCCACTCCCACAGCTGGTGGCCCAAGATGAGACACCCCACTCCCACAGCTGGTGGCCCAAGATGAGACGCCCCACTCCCACAGCTGGTGGCCCAAGATGAGACGCCCCACTCCCACAGCTGGTGGCCCAAGATGAGACGCCCCGCTCCCACAGCTGGTGGCCCAAGATGAGACGCCCCACTCCCACAGCTGGTGGCCCAAGATGAGACGCCCCACTCCCACAGCTGGTGGCCCAAGATGAGACGCCCCGCTCCCACAGCTGGTGGCCCAAGATGAGACGCCCCACTCCCACAGCTGGTGGCCCAAGATGAGACGCCCCACTCCCACAGCTGGTGGCCCAAGATGAGACGCCCCGCTCCCACAGCTGGTGGCCCAAGAGCCTCGATTCTCTAGATGAAAACCCCGCCCTACAGTATATAATCCCCAGATGAGTTATATGTGTATATATATGAACAATTCATATATGAGTATGTATGAACAACTCGATAAATAATAACAATAAGATAAAGAGCCTTAAACAGAACAACATGTGTGGAAGCATCGGAGTGTGTATATATGAATGCTGCACAGTATTCATCTATGGACATCCATACATGGTGAAACACATGTGAAGAACATCTCTCACACTCACAGCTCCCTGACAAGAGGGAGCCAGCTTAGCTTAGCTGCCAACACCCACACATGGTGTCAGCAAGGCGGACAGCCCGCCGCCTGCTTTTATACCTCTCACTGTATTTCCCACTTCTAGACTTCCCTTCACCTTTGCCTCTCCTTCCTCTTTACTCCAAACAAAAAAAAGGCACTGAAAGATGTGAACGACCATAGTCACGTTCTGTGTCTCAGTGGTCACGTTCTGTCTCTCAGTGGTCACGTTCTGTGTCTCCGTGGTCACGTTCTGTGTCTCCGTGGCCACGTTCTGTGTCTCCGTGGTCACGTTCTGTGTCTCCGTGGTCACGTTCTGTCTCTCAGTGGTCACGTTCTGTCTCTCAGTGGTCACGTTCTGTGTCTCAGTGGTCACGTTCTGTGTCTCCGTGGTCACGTTCTGTGTCTCAGTGGTCACGTTCTGTGTCTCCGTGGTCACGTTCTGTGTCTCAGTGGTCACGTTCTGTGTCTCCGTGGTCACGTTCTGTGTCTCCGTGGCCACGTTCTGTGTCTCCGTGGTCACGTTCTGTGTCTCCGTGGTCACGTTCTGTGTCTCCGTGGTCACGTTCTATCTCTCAGTGGTCACGTTCTGTGTCTCAGTGGTCACGTTCTGTGTCTCCGTGGTCACGTTCTGTGACTCAGTGGTCACGTTCTGTGTCTCCGTGGTCACGTTCTGTGTCTCCGTGGTCACGTTCTGTGACTCAGTGGTCACGTTCTGTGTCTCCGTGGTCACGTTCTGTGTCTCAGTGGCCACGTTCTGTGTCTCCGTGGTCACGTTCCGTGACTCAGTGGTCACGTTCTGTGTCTCCATGGTCACGTTCTGTGTCTCCGTGGCCACGTTCTGTGTCTCCGTGGTCACGTTCTGTGACTCCGTGGTCACGTTCTGTGTCTCCGTGGTCACGTTCTGTGTCTCCGTGGTCACGTTCTGTGTCTCAGTGGCCACGTTCTGTGTCTCCGTGGTCACGTTCTGTCTCTCAGTGGTCACGTTCTGTGTCTCAGTGGTCACGTTCTGTGTCTCCGTGGTCACGTTCTGTGTCTCAGTGGCCACGTTCTGTGTCTCCGTGGTCACGTTCTGTGTCTCCGTGGTCACGTTCTGTGACTCAGTGGTCACGTTCTGTGACTCCGTGGTCACGTTCTGTGTCTCAGTGGCCATGTTCTGTGTCTCCGTGGTCACGTTCTGTCTCTCAGTGGTCACGTTCTGTGTCTCCGTGGTCACGTTCTGTGTCTCCGTGGTCACGTTCTGTGTCTCCGTGGTCACGTTCTGTGTCTCCGTGGTCACGTTCTGTGTCTCCGTGGTCACGTTCTGTGACTCAGTGGTCACGTTCTGTGACTCCGTGGTCACGTTCTGTGTCTCAGTGGCCATGTTCTGTGTCTCCGTGGTCACGTTCTGTCTCTCAGTGGTCACGTTCTGTGTCTCCGTGGTCACGTTCTGTGTCTCCGTGGTCACGTTCTGTGTCTCCGTGGTCACGTTCTGTGTCTCCGTGGTCACGTTCTGTGTCTCAGTGGCCACGTTCTGTGACTCAGTGGTCACGTTCTGTCTCTCAGTGGTCACGTTCTGTGTCTCCGTGGTCACGTTCTGTGTCTCCGTGGCCACGTTCTGTGTCTCCGTGGTCACGTTCTGTGTCTCCGTGGTCACGTTCTGTGTCTCCGTGGTCACGTTCTGTGTCTCCGTGGTCACGTTCTGTCTCTCAGTGGTCACGTTCTGTGTCTCAGTGGTCACGTTCTGTGACTCAGTGGTCACGTTCTGTCTCTCAGTGGTCACGTTCTGTCTCTCAGTGGTCACGTTCTGTCTCTCTGTGGTCACGTTCTGTCTCTCAGTGGTCACGTTCTGTGTCTCCGTGGTCACGTTCTGTGTCTCCGTGGTCACGTTCTGTGTCTCCGTGGCCACGTTCTGTGTCTCCGTGGTCACGTTCTGTGTCTCCGTGGTCACGTTCTGTGTCTCCGTGGTCACGTTCTGTGTCCCCGTGGTCACGTTCTGTGTCTCCGTGGCCGCGTTCTGTGTCCCCGTGGTCACGTTCTGTGTCTCCGTGGCCGCGTTCTGTGTCTCAGTGGTCACGTTCTGTCTCCGTGGTCACGTTCTGTCTCGCAGTGGTCACGTTCTGTGTCTCCGTGGTCACGTTCTGTCTCTCCGTGGTCACGTTCTGTGTCTCCGTGGTCACGTTCTGTGTCTCCGTGGTCACGTTCTGTGTCTCCGTGGTCACGTTCTGTGTCTCCGTGGCCACGTTCTGTGTCTCCGTGGTCACGTTCTGTGTCTCAGTGGTCACGTTCTGTGACTCAGTGGTCACGTTCTGTGTCTCCGTGGTCCGTGGGGACACGTGTTCTGGGAGCCTGGTGGTGGTGGTGACACGCGGACGTTCACTCACTGTCCCAAAACGTTTCCGACCAACACGATGACGTCATGTGCTCTGCAGTCCTTAAATAACCCATCACAACGTATATCTGAAGTAGCTTGTAATATTAAATGGAACGTAATTTTTGCCAATGATAATAACTATCTTCAGGTTATCTTGAGATGATTTCGGGGCTTTAGTGTCCCCGCGGCCCGGTCCTCGACCAGGCCTCCACCCCCAGGAAGCAGCCTGTGACAGCTGACTAACACCCAGGTACCTATTTTACTGCTAGGTAACAGGGGCATAGGGTGAAAGAAACTCTACCCATTGTTTCTCGCCGGCGCCTGGGATCGAACCCAGGACCGCAGGATCACAAGTCCAGCGTGCTGTCCGCTCGGCCGACCGGCTCCCTATTGTATAACTATTGTATAAAATTTGTGTGGATCCCATCCCATGTTGGAGTTGGAAAACATGACTTTGTAGATCAATTGGCCAATGAGGCTTGCAGGAAAGAAAACATTGATTATAACTTTGGACTCTCTAATGCAATTATTAGAAACATACAAATTAAAGAAATTAATTCAGATTTAGAAGAACTAAGTAATGCCCAGAGACCTGAAAGCTGCAGTATTAAAAGTTATGACAAGTTTTGTAATAATAGGTATTTGTATGGTCAGCACAGTAACCGGACCAGGCAATGTGATGTAGTCATTGTGGTAATTCGCCTTGGCTATAGGCACATCTGGCAGGTTAGTGAGGCTGAGCCACTACCAGAATACTCAGATTGTAAACTCTGTGATAAACCTTTAATGCATTCACTAGAACACTATATTGATAATTTTATTTATATTACTCTTAAGCTGCATCACTTATGAACCCATCCCTGCATTTATGTGGCAGTGCACAATAGAAAGTTGTTTTACATATTCATACATTAAAACATGTATAGAGTAATGAAGTTGATTGTAACCATGATATATATGTGCTTCAGCCTACAGTTTAGGTCTTGTGTATGACCCTCTGTCCTGCGTGACAGTGAATACCAGCATTATCCTCACTTTAATATGACTTAATTTAAATCCTCAGATTAGGCAAAATTATAATTAAATTTTGTCCATAAAGATGTTAATAATAATAATAATTGCTTTCTGGCCTCCAGGGTGTGTGCGTGTTTGAGGCCGCGTCACAGAGAGAGCCGTGGCGGCTGTGTCACAGAGAGAGCCGTGGCGGCTGCGTCACGGAGAGAGCCGTGGCGGCTGCGTCACGGAGAGAGCCGTGGCGGCTGTGTCACGGAGAGAGCCGTGGCGGCTGCGTCACGGAGAGAGCCGTGGCGGCTGCGTCACGGAGAGAGCCGTGGCGGCTGCGTCACGGAGAGAGCCGTGGCGGCTGCGTCACGGAGAGAGCCGTGGCGGCTGCGTCACGGAGAGAGCCGTGGCGGCTGCGTCACGGAGAGAGCCGTGGCGGCTGTGTCACGGAGAGAGCCGTGGCGGCTGCGTCACAGAGAGAGCCGTGGCGGCTGCGTCACGGAGAGAGCCGTGGCGGCTGCGTCACGGAGAGAGCCGTGGCGGCTGCGTCACGGAGAGAGCCGTGGCGGCTGCGTCACGGAGAGAGCCGTGGCGGCTGCGTCACGGAGAGAGCCGTGGCGGCTGTGTCACGGAGAGAGCCGTGGCGGCTGTGTCACGGAGAGAGCCGTGGCGGCTGCGTCACGGAGAGAGCCGTGGCGGCTGCGTCACGGAGAGAGCCGTGGCGGCTGCGTCACGGAGAGAGCCGTGGCGGCTGCGTCACGGAGAGAGCCGTGGCGGCTGTGTCACGGAGAGAGCCGTGGCGGCTGCGTCACGGAGAGAGCCGTGGCGGCTGCGTCACGGAGAGAGCCGTGGCGGCTGTGTCACGGAGAGAGCCGTGGCGGCTGCGTCACGGAGAGAGCCGTGGCGGCTGTGTCACGGAGAGAGCCGTGGCGGCTGCGTCACGGAGAGAGCCGTGGCGGCTGTGTCACGGAGAGAGCCGTGGCGGCTGTGTCACGAAGAGAGCCGTGGCGGCTGCGTCACGGAGAGAGCCGTGGCGGCTGTGTCACGGAGAGAGCCGTGGCGGCTGTGTCACGGAGAGCCGTGGCGGCTGTGTCACGGAGAGAGCCGTAGCGGCTGCGTCACGGAGAGAGCCGTGGCGGCTGCGTCACGGAGAGAGCCGTGGCGGCTGTGTCACGGAGAGAGCCGTGGCGGCTGCGTCACGGGGAGAGCCGTGGCGGCTGTGTCACGGAGAGAGCCGTGGCGGCTGCGTCACGGAGAGAGCCGTGGCGGCTGCGTCACGGAGAGAGCCGTGGCGGCTGTGTCACGGAGAGAGCCGTGGCGGCTGTGTCACGGAGAGCCGTGGCGGCTGTGTCACGGAGAGAGCCGTAGCGGCTGCGTCACCGAGAGAGCCGTGGCGGCTGTGTCACGGAGAGAGCCGTGGCGGCTGCGTCACCGAGAGAGCCGTGGCGGCTGCGTATCTAACCGGAAGTCAGTGTACGCGGGTGACGCACGACCGTCCTTAATACTTAAGGAAATTCCTGACACTCGGCTCGAGTAGGACAGCCTGAGGGTGATGGAACCCCTCCCTGCCCTCCCTCACCCCTCCCTCCTTCTCTCCCTCACCCCTCCCCGCCCTCCCTCACCCCTCCGTCCTTCTCTCCCTCACCCTTCCCCGCCCTCCCCTCACCCCTCCCTCCCTCCATCTCTCTCTCACCCCTCCCCGCCCTTCCCTCCCTCCCTCCATCTCTTCCTCACCCCTCCCTCCCTCACCCCTCCCGCCGTGATGCACGGAAGCTGCAGTCTGGCGTTATTAATGAGAGGTGAGGCAGACACTTCTTTTTGGGACACTCCAGTTGGTATACCATGAGCCTCACCAGTCAGCCAGGCTTACGGGCTATTCATGCCCGTGCCACCACTTGGGTGGCTTAACCTTTCTCAAACAATCAATCAACCGGTCACCAGGACACCAAACTGTGCACCAGGACACCAAACTGTGCACCATGACACTAAACTGTGCACCAGGACACCAAACTGTGCTCCAGGACACCAAACTGTGCACCAGGACACTAAACTGTGCACCAGGACACCAAACTGTGCTCCAGGACACCAAACTGTGCACCAGGACACCAAACTGTGCACCAGGACACCAAACTGTGCATCAGGACACTAAACTGTGCACCAGGACACCAAACTGTGCACCAGGACACCAAACTGTGCACCAGGACACTAAACTGTGCACCAGGACACCAAACTGTGCACCAGGACACCAAACTGTGCTCCAGGACACCAAACTGTGCACCAGGACACCAAACTGTGCACCAGGACACCAAACTGTGCACCAGGACACCAAACTGTGCACCAGGACACTAAACTGTGCACCAGGACACCAAACTGTGCACCAGGACACTAAACTGTGCACCAGGACACCAAACTGTGCACCAGGACACCACACTGTGCACCAGGACACCAAACTGTGCACCAGGACACTAAACTGTGCACCAGGACACCAAACTGTGCACCAGGACACCAAACTGTGCACCAGGACACCAAACTGTGCACCAGGACACCAAACTGTGCACCAGGACACCAAACTGTGCACCAGGACACCAAACTGTGCACCATGACACTAAACTGTGCACCAGGACACCAAACTGTGCACCAGGACACCAAACTGTGCACCAGGACACCAAACTGTGCACCAGGACACTAAACTGTGCACCAGGACACCAAACTGTGCACCAGGACACCAAACTGGGCACCAGGACACCAAACTGTGCACCAGGACACCAAACTGTGCACCAGGACACCAAACTGTGCACCAGGACACTAAACTGTGCACCAGGACACCAAACTGTGCACCAGGACACTAAACTGTGCACCAGGACACCAAACTTTGCTCCAGGACACCAAACTGTGCACCAGGACACCAAACTGTGCACCAGGACACCAAACTGTGCACCAGGACACCAAACTGTGCACCAGGACACCAAACTGTGCACCAGGACACCAAACTGTGCATCAGCACACCAAACTGTGCACCAGGACACTAAACTGTGCACCATGACACCAAACTGTGCACCAGGACACTAAACTGTGCACCATGACACCAAACTGTGCACCAGGACACCAAACTGTGCACCAGGACACCAAACTGTGCACCAGGACACCAAACTGTGCACCATGACACCAAACTGTGCACCAGGACACTAAACTGTGCACCATGACACCAAACTGTGCACCAGGACACCAAACTGTGCACCAGGACACCAAACTGTGCACCATGACACCAAACTGTGCACCAGGACACCAAACTGTGCATCAGCACACCAAACTGTGCACCAGGACACCAAACTGTGCACCAGGACACCAAACTGTGCATCAGCACACCAAACTGTGCACCAGGACACCAAACTGTGCATCAGCACACCAAACTGTGCACCAGGACACTAAACTGTGCACCAGGACACCAAACTGTGCACCAGGACACCAAACTGTGCACCAGGACACCAAACTGTGCATCAGCACACCAAACTGGGCACCAGGACACCAAACTGTGCATCAGCACACCAAACTGTGCACCAGGACACCAAACTGGGCACCAGGACACCAAACTGTGCATCAGCACACCAAACTGGGCACCAGGACACCAAACTGTGCATCAGCACACCAAACTGGGCACCAGGACACCAAACTGTGCACCAGGACACCAAACTGTGCACCAGGACACCAAACTGTGCACCAGGACACCAAACTGTGCATCAGCACACCAAACTGGGCACCAGGACACCAAACTGTGCACCAGCACACCAAACTGGGCACCAGGACACCAAACTGTGCACCAGGACACCAAACTGTGCACCAGGACACCAAACTGTGCACCAGGACACCAAACTGTGCACCAGGACACCAAACTGGGCACCAGGACACCAAACTGTGCACCAGGACACCAAACTGTGCACCAGGACACCAAACTGTGCACCAGGACACTAAACTGTGCACCAGGACACCAAACTGTGCACCAGGACACTAAACTGTGCACCAGGACACCAAACTGTGCACCAGGACACCAAACTGTGCACCAGCACACCAAACTGGGCACCAGGACACCAAACTGTGCACCAGCACACCAAACTGGGCACCAGGACACTAAACTGTGCATCAGCACACCAAACTGGGCACCAGGACACCAAACGTCTGGAAGTAAACAAACTTGGCCACAGAACATACTCACCAACATATCGTCTGGAAGTATACAAACTTGGCCACAGAACATACTCACCAACATATCGTCTGGAAGTATACAAACTTGGCCACAGAACATACTCACCAACATATCGTCTGGAAGTATACAAACTTGGCCACAGAACATACTCACCAACATATCGTCTGGAAGTATACAAACTTGGCCACAGAACATACTCACCAACATATCGTCTGGAACTATACAAACTTGGCCACAGAACATACTCACCAACATATCGTCTGGAAGTATACAAACTTGGCCACAGAACATACTCACCAACATATCGTCTGGAACTATACAAACTTGGCCACAGAACATACTCACCAACATATCGTCTGGAAGTATACAAACCTGGCCACAGAACATACGCACCAACATAGAAACAATCGTTAACATACACGTACGAACTATCGGATGAGTCAAACTGGGTTTGGTTCATAACAAGAAATGTCTTCAAGGGTGTGATGGGTGTGTTTGTGTAGCCGCGGCTGGCCGCCGCTCCCAGTTGCATGGTGCAACACACATCCTTCTACTGCAAGTTGCACACAGCTGAATACTGGTCAGGTCATGACACCAAGTGCTGGTCAGGACACGACACCTAGAACTGGTCAGGTCACGACACCTAGTACTGGTCAGGTCACGACACCTAGTACTGGTCAGGTCACGACACCTAGTACTGGTCAGGTCACGACTCCTAGTGCTAATTAATCCAAAAGTAAGGGGATCAGATTTAAAGAAATTTGAAAAGTTAAGCGATCATTAAAATATTATTATACATTCATGAAAATTAAATCATATGGATATCAGAAGTGAATCAATTTGTAACACCACTATAAAATGCCACCATTGTAAGACCACTATAAAATGCCACCATTGTAACACCACTATAAAATGCCACCATTGTAACACCACTATAAAATGCCACCATTGTAACACCACTATAAAATGCCACCATTGTAACACCACTATAAAATGTATGTACTAAACTAATAATGTAACTCTACTACTTACCCTGAGTAACACTTCCTATCGGTTGCACTTGGTAACACTGTTATTGAACACTGTAATATGAGCTGACATATGATGGTTGCATTTTTTTCATTGATATACTTTATTGTCATATTATGATATTCGGAATTGTATCATGTGTGAGGGTATCATTGCTTGTATTTTTGCCAAGATTTTTTTTACTTTTGTTTCTTTCATTGTACATTTATGTGTTGTTCTTACTGAAGTGTTACTGTATAATGTACTTTGCATCATGTTAATTTAGTTTGTTTACTTTTATCAATATGTCACTGGCAATTTTTTTATAGGGTTTAGTTATGGTATTTTGGATGTGTTAGGATAAGAAAAAATTGGGCTTAATTATCATACACCCGATTTTGTCTTAACTCCGGGGAAAGGGAGCTGTAACACCCATGACCCCCACCCCCTAGAGTTCACACTCAGGGAAGCCTTCTCCAAGAGGTCAGCCCAGATGACCTCCGGATTATCTTGTATGTTGATTAAAAAATTCCTGGGTTAGTCTTAGTCAGCTAGTTTCAAGTATGCAATATTTCATGGTACTCTTGTCAAACATTGAAATGGAATTAGACCCCAGATTCGTATGTGTAAACATCCATGGATCTCCCCCTTTTAGCAAGGTCAAAGGTCAGTCACACACGTAATTAATAATTCCTCTCTTGAACAGTGTATGGTGAATGTCAAACAAATTTAATGAAAATTCTTGAGTGTTTGTGTACGTGTGGCCCGACCTCTTTTCGATCTAGGTAGCAACAGCAAATCTTCCCCTTCCCCTTTTTTTGAGGGTGTATATATATTGGTCCTGTAGAGACTTAGGGACAGAGTGCGTTACACCAGGGTCGAGAGAGGGCTGTGGAGAACATCGCACAGCAGGGAGTGACAGTGAATCCACGGATGGAGAGACAGAGGTCTTAAGGTACAGTGTGATCTCTGAGGTTTTGTTCCATTTCTAAATTTCTTAACTCTTGGCCAGTGTTAGAGTAGCATTTATAAGTGGAGATTAGCATAATTTTGGTCTCAATAAACTCATGTTAAATTTCCTGTCTGTGTCAATTGTTGAATCCTCTTAGCCTTTTGGATATAGTGGCTGACAACCGTCCCATAATTAATGACAGTCATAGAAAGTACTCTCCAAGTCAAGCAATGTTTCTTGCCTCGTTGCTTGATATAGTCTCAATGGTCAAGGCAGATGGTGGCAGCGTATTAATTCTGTGTAGCATTTCCTTATTGGCAGTGTACATTTTGGTTCCGGTGTAACCATCATATGTCAGCTCATATTACAGTGTTCAATAACTGTGTTACCAAGTGCAACCGATAGGAAGTGTTACTCAGGATAAGTAGTAGAGTTACATTATTAGTTTAGTATATACATTTTATAGTGGTGTTACAATGGTGACATTTTATAGAGGTGTTACAATGGTGGCATTTTATAGAGGTGTTACAAATAGGTGACAGTCAAGGCCGCTCCCACCGGCCTGGGACAGTGAGGACTCCGGCCTGCTGGTCCCCCTCTGGTGACGTCTGGCTCCTCTCTACCACTACAACTGCTCCTGGAGTTGAGAGAAACCAGAAGCTAAGCATCGCCCACCAGGAGATAGCCTCTGACTGTCTGTCTACCACACCTAGACAGCGGCTTGTTTGGTGGAAGACACAGGCAACCATCCGCGATTATAATCGTAGGCGAAGGCCAGCTAGGTCACCTGACACCACCCGGCGCCGCCACTGGTGAAGATGTGACTTCTACATTGTCAAGGACGACGGCCTGGCGTCGTCACCATCCTGCGTCAACTGACTCTACTGGTGTTAGAGAAATATTTAATACAGCCATTTATGGTGTTATAATGTGGTGCTGCTTTAGGTATGGTGCCCACCACCACCCACGGGGTGGGTATGGTGCCCAGCACCACCCACGGGGGTGGGTATGATGCCCACCACCACCACCAGGGTGGGTATGATGCCCACCACCACCACCAGGGTGAGTATGGAGCCCACCACCGCCTATGGGCTGCACAATAAAGGACTAAACAACTACCCAGGAGTTATGAAGAGATAGTAGAGGAGGAGGAGGAGAGAGAGAGAGGCGGCGCGGGAGGCCGGGGAAGCCCCAGGCAGAGGGAAGTGAGCCCTCATATAATGGGAAGCTCTGTCGTCAAGTCCTTCCGCTGCTGCGTATATCGCACACTTCTCAACACACGCCCGTGTTAACCTCTACCACACTGGTGTTAACCCCTACCACACTGGTGTTAGCCCCTACCACACTGGTGTTAACCTCTACCACACTGGTGTTAACCTCTACCACACTGGTGTTAACCTCTACCACACTGGTGTTAACCTCTACCACACTGGTGTTAACCTCTACCACACTGGTGTTAACCTCTACCACACTGGTGTTAACCTCTACCACACTGGTGTTAACCTCTACCACACTGGTGTTAACCTCTACCACACTGGTGTTAACCTCTACCACACTGGTGTTAACCTCTACCACACTGGTGTTAACCTCTACCACACTGGTGTTAACCTCTACCACACTGGTGTTAACCTCTACCACACTGGTGTTAACCTCTACCACACTGGTGTTAACCTCTACCACACTGGTGTTAACATATATAATATAAAGGGTCTCTGTAGTACAGTCAGGTTCGTTCTCGACTCACAATCGAAAATTCCGGGTTCGAATCCCGGATGGGACAGAAATGGTTGGGCACCTTTCCTATCACCTAATGCGTCTTTTCACCCAGCAGTAAGTAGGTACTGAGGAGTTAGTCAGCATGTTGTGGGGTTCCATCCTGGACGGGGTCAGTAATTCGACCTTGGGGGGGTGGGGGGCGGCGGGGGTCCTTGATATAAGTCTAATGTGTATACACTCTGGCTTCCTGTCCCCAGACTGTTACAGACCCGAGTCCAGCGTCGGAGCAAGGAGCAGTGACGACAACGCCATCTGTGAGTCCGCTCCCGAAACCCCCTCCAAATGGACAACGCCATCTAGTGAGGACGGGATATACCGGCCACAGGTGCTGGATTCCCGTCTTAATGAGCTCATAACGTAGCCGCTGCTGACCTCTGGTGAAGTGGCGCTTAGACAGTGAATGCCATCTATGGAGCAAATAGGTGGACGTTTCTATCTAAGCTAGTAAGTGGTGTTTCTTAGTGGCCCCATGTAGTATCTCCAGTACTAATGACGTATCTGATTGCAGAGTCGACCTGGGTCTGCTGTATTGGACGATGGATCAGTCTACCCAAGGCAGCCAAGGTCTCTTCACGAGTCTGCTGAAGAAGCTGTGAGTCACCCCCGGATGAACTCTGTTGAGAGTATTAGCCTGCCTGTGGTGTGGCAGTGTTGGGAATCGCCTTATCCGGGGTTGGCTGGTGGAAGAGAATAGCCACTGTGGTGCTTAGTGAGGAGAGTGATCAGCGGGATCACACGAGGCTCCTGCCTAGGGCTCGCAACCCTAGTATCGGTCGTGGAGTGGCCTACAGAGCGGAGCTGATCGGTACCTGCCAGCTACAGGCTGGATTGTGGTTGAAGGCCTCCACGACGAAGCACCCAGTGGGACTGTGATTTGGCTGGCCTGTGGCCAGGGTAGATTCGTCATAGAATCATAGTGGATTCATCGTGGGCCATGGAAGAAGGAACCAGGGCTACCCAGAGTGAGCACCGTTGAGCATCCAGTGTCTTCGGAGGAAGACTGTACATAATTGTGTAGTTATAATCCCTGCTTGTGACTGTTATTTATTTATACATGGTGGTGGAAAATATA